CTTTCTGGGGTAACACGAGCTAGACAGCCAGTCTAGCGACGAGTGTGACGACTTCCGCCCGGAACCGCATCACAATTTACTACCCGTCCAGTACCGAAAAACAGCCGCAGCGATCCAATAAAAACATCAGCGGCGAAAACCGGCGTCAAATCTTACCACGAAAAGTAAAGAAACGTTCCATGGATCACGCACTTTCAAGGAACCGAATAGGCGGTGGCTTACGGCGAGGCAAAAAGCCAGCCAGCCATTCACCACACATAACGGTAAGTAAAAGCGTGTCTGTGCGCGTTACGTTAGTAATGCGTGCATAGCATGCAGTGTTTCGATGTGGGACATATGAGTGAACATTAATTCTAGTCTGCTTTAAACCGAAAATCATCATTACGGTATACTGCTTCAAAGAACTCAGCATCGAACGTTGATAAGCATGGTACAAGATCTGTGGTGTATTGGAAGTATCTACTTCACGAACATCAAAAACTTAAACCATGCATGCCATGGGCTAAGAGTGTAGGCCCTACCACGAAGATAAGTGAACGTATATGCTGTCACCCAAAAACGAAACAAAGCAAACAGCTATCAAATCGCAATCATCCACCAGGTCAAACGAGGTAGACGAAAAGCTGCAGAGGTCAAGAGACGTGTCAACAAATCGGACGATCGTAAACATGCCAGTCGGCACCACTCAAACAAAACCAATGCAAAACAGCTGCAACGGCAACGATGCTGACAACCTCAGGAGATGAAGCCGCGCGGCTCAAATACTGCCAATAAAAATGTGCATGCGGTTTCCAGACAAACACTAAATAAAACAAAAAACATAACAATAAGTAACATATTAACCGCAGATTTAACACATAACATCGATAACACAATAACAGACTCACCAGTCCATCGGAAGATGCATCGTGTCATCGATGAACACTGATCCGCTAAGTAGTATGTACCAACAGGTGCTGCGCTGGCCTCTCCTGTAAACAAACCGTATAAACAAGAAGAACGACGCAAACAAAAGCAAATAAAATGAACGCATAATTAAACAAGCTGGTCGTTTCGCTTGCTCCCTGTTAGAACAACCATAAAAACAAAATGAATACGAACTGTTAAACAAAAACAAACATCAACTCTGTTTTCGGCAACAACGGTTTAATTGCTTCGGATAGGATGCATTTTGTACACTGCCTTGTCAGAGCAGTGGAAACTTACCGTCTTCCTCAGGGGTACATCAGTAATGCGAGCCAGGGTGATACTCATTCATAACAGAGGTATGAGAAGTGGTAGGACGCGAAATTTAAGCACTCCG